ATATAGCTTTGTTAAGTCAGACTCGCTCATTTCAACCAAACTTCTCCTGAGTAACATTAGTAACGAATCGGCTAGACTCACAAAGATATACCTTTACTGCTCGAGGTACAGTAATGTCTCTCCAAGTGTCAGCCAGTTTGGATTCTACAAGTGTCAGTATAGATGGTCCTACGTCTGGGTGTGCGTCATTGCTACGCCTATGTTATCTCGCTCGCTGTCAGTCAAGCGTGTAACGCTACACCACTCGGTTTCTTTTACGAGATTTCACGGCTCGACAATTCATAATAGAAAAATATAATTTCTTTAATTCCTTTTTTTCATCTGAAATTTTTTTTAACATGTTGGTGAGATTTTTCTGATGAAAATGATGAAACATTTACTTATCAATATTTATTGAGTAATTAATTTAATGTCGACCTACCTCCACGTAAAAAAATGTAGGGCCGATTCTACAAGTGTCAGTCAAATGTAGGGCCGATTCTACAAGTGTCAGTCAAACTGTAGGCCAATTCCCCAACTGGCAGTCAAACGGTAGGCCGACTCTATTATCTCAATACAGTGAAATATCTGGCGTGATAGTGACAGTGAACGTGTTAATAAGTAAATGTTGTTCAAATTATGTCGTGTTTGATGTAATTTTCATCAGAAAAAATCTCATCAATATGTTAAGAAAAATTTCGGGATAAAAAAACGTAAAATTAAAAAAGTTGGTATTTAAATCGCTTGGTTGCCTCGACTCACGTTTCATCCTTATCTTTTATTCGCTGTCCTTGTCTACGTTCGGCAAACTACAAAGGCGGGCGCGAGGCTCGAAAACGTAGTCCGTGACTCTACAAGTGTCAGGTTTAGGTTCCTTGCGGACTGACACTTGTGGAGACATTACTGTATATCTAACTGTACGATACGCACAGTCCTCAACCCTTCTGCCTCTTGGAGAACAACGTAGTAACCACATGCGTTGAAGGTTCCAAACCTCCTATCAACTAACCGAAATTCCGCTCCGTATAAGGACACAAAGCGCAATCCGTAACAAGAATAAAAGTTGGTAGAATAAGCAGTTTAGATACCAAAAAACACAGACTCACACCGTTAATCAATCTGGTCGGAAAGAAAGTTGTCGTAGCAGAATTACTTTTACACAAAGACTTATCCAAAATCAATGCACTAGGAATCAGTGATCCTAGATGGCTGGACGATCTAAAAGGACACATTACACACGAGATCAAAATGAGAATTATCAACAAAGCCGAATCATTTGATACTGTTCCTTTTCAATGGAAACTCGTGAGCAAAGATCGACAACCTTGTAATCTTTAATATTATACAGTTTTTATTTATAAACAATACCATACCAAACAATAACATACATTATAAAAGAATCTATTTATACTTTAGATACATGGTAAAAGAGAAAAACGATTTAAGAGTAACGTATTATTATTTTTCTAATGCACATGAAACATGTCGTTTACATAGAACTTCGAATTTGATTAGCATAATTTAATTTTTTACGCGAAGGCATGCTTTTCGTGCGCATAACCTCACTTTCGTACCTTCAATTAAATTAGATAGAGTAACTTAATAATACTTCATACACGCGACACTGATCTACTTATACACCTGTTTAAATTAAGATTTTATAAGAAATTGTCTTTTCCTGTTTTCAACAAGCGCGTTAAAATTTCGGTGATTTCTTCATTGCTGCTCAAAATGAATATTTCTTATGAATTAGAATTGAGGTTTACGATGCGGAATTTGCGAATACCAATTACACAACCTTTCGTTCATTTTTCAATATTACTCTCGTTATATTCGACAAAATTTCGAACACTTGAAAAGTTGCATAAGTAAATCTTACACCGTTATCAAATTCAGAACAACGAAGTTCAACTCGAACCAACTGAATTTTAATCTTCACATTTGATTACTCTCAATTTTTGCTTCTTTAAACGATCCGTATCGTTTATGCGAATAATCTGCGTGAAAAGAGCGACGAGCCAAACGGAACATCCGCTGAAAATATCGATCGACACGTTTAACCTAAAATTACAAATCGATATTCAGCGGTGTCGAGAGTAGCAATTAGTTCGTTCAAATAAATCGCCGCGTAGACGGGAACGATATCAATTTTCAGGACACAGAGGATAGTGTTGCGTCACGGCATGACGAATTTTCGAGGCAATCGTTACGAAAGCCGTCGAGGCATGTCGCGAATTACAGATACGGGGAAGCCTCGCGAGGTTCAGCCCATTTGAAACAAACTTCACCAGGCATACCTGTTAGCACGCGACGGCTTTGGGTCACGTTCCGTTCTCCTCGCGTTGCATCGAACAATTGCTGCACTTGGACCTGAACTCTGAGCTATTTGCTCGTGGAAATTAAATCCCCGCCACGATTTCGTCAATGTTCGACACGTTGACGTTGAGAAAAGGTCCCTTTGAATTTCCCCTCGAATATTTATTCTTGTTACAATTCATTTCTGAACGATTTATGACTTGAAGAAGCAAAAAGTCTCTCGTAAAAATTTTACTTCTATCACAACATGCGGAATAATAAGGATGGAATTGAATCGTTGAAAAAATGTGAATTAGATTCAAACTTTATGTACTGCTATGAAGAAATGAAATAATTCGTGAATTTATGTACAGTCAAGGACAAAAATATGTATGTGGGCACACTTCAAAGTAGAGTAACTTTTTTCGAATTGGGCCAATTGAGTTTTGTTTTAGAAGTTAGAAAAATTAGTTTACTATATGACATGTCAAAAAATTTTGAGAAAACTGCAATTAGTCGGAATCCCGAAGAAAATAGCGAAGGTCGCCTTTTACAACTTTTTTATCTGAACTCGTAATGAAAATTGGAAAAATTCGTTTCGTAGATCTGTGTAAATTATACACATGATGAAAATTTCACTATAATTTCACGATATAAATTTCACAATAATACAATAATTTATTTATCGAGGGATTTTCAATTTTTAATTGTACTGTTATGCCTACGTTCGCCGTAAAATACATCATATCGACATTTGCAAGAACGAAAGGAAGTAATTGGTTACCATTCTTACTAATTTTAAACTATAAATTATGTAAAGAGATTCAATTTCAGTTTTAAAACTAAACACAGTTTATCAGGCTAAAAGTGGACGTACAATATATCTGCTGTAAACCATCGCATGTTTTAGATATTCAATTCTGTTTTTTCATTGAAAGTACCTATCTTTGGTTAGGGTACAAATATGTCTTTATGACTGCAAGTATTGCAAATAAAAAAAGACTAGATTAAGGTATTATAACGAATTGATTAATTTATAAAGTGATTCTTGTATGAATAAATAAATATGTATGTAAGTAAATGTATAGAAATAAATAGTTCAACAAATTGTTCTTGTGTTTTAATTCCTATTACTTCTTCCATAATTAGTTACATAAAATAATGGCATGAACCGGACTATTACTTAATAATTTCTTTCTTTAATAACGAGAGCAATTAACATAAATT